TGTTCCACCAGTTTAGATAATCACAGCTGCTTATTTAGTACATAGTACTACATCCTGTAGCAAAATAATGTTAACACAGTCATTCTTATGCCACTCATGGGTCTGGTATTAAGGATACCAACAGAGGAACGAGGGTATCCCTATGCTTCTTGGTATTTGCCTGCCACTGAGCTCCAAAGTCCCACAAGAGTTCAGCTGCCCTAAGTGACAATAAGGAAAGAAGTTTTACTGCAGGTTGTAGGTACTCATTTAAGCACTATGTTGTGTGCTGTAATTGCAGGCTGCATTAGGTCACGCTTTCTCACAAGGCTTATTCCAAACAGAAGTCACTTCCATTGGATTGTCCTTGCAGCAGCAACGTAAATGAACAAGCTTGGGCAGCTTTGCCAGAAATATCTAAAACTAATTACTCAGCAGCCATTCATGCAGCATATGACAAAAGTGCTATTATTGTCAGGGAGAGTACGGAGCCTGCAACTACAACTCACCACTCAATCTAGACAGTTAGCTGAACATAACACACTTGTAATAATATTTAAAGCATAATATCTGATATGTGTATGAGCGTCTAAATTCATATGACATACAAGATAAAACAACGACTGTTACATTAGAGACATTAATTCCTTTTAAGTTAGCTAAGAAAATTGGCAGGTAGTTCTTAAAACTTGTTGGTATACAAATCCCTTTCTGCTGCTGGAAATCCAGCAGCAATGTTCAGACTTTAGGCGAAAGAGCTCACAAGCTGCCTACAGACCCATAGTCCTCAGGTGATAAAGCAGGGGAAAGAGCCCTCACTTATTCCAAGTGCTCTGCAACATTTTGAAAAAAACTGATGTGAATCGTAGGGACAAGGGGGCACAGTACCGATACTAACATGCCCTATAGAATCAATTTGGGTGCAAGGCCATAATGATGCAGCTATACTGTCAGGGGTTGCAGACGTACTTCCTTTGCAGTTAGCTGAGACAGTTAGCTGGACTGTTTTCCACTGCCCAGTGTACAAAATGCCCAATGTTTATACAGTCCTTAGCAAAATAGGCCAATATTCTTGATTGGCCTCAAAACAGCACAGTGATTGTAATTATAAATACCAGGGAAGTAAATGATCACAGAAGGCATTTGATGTATTTTTTTCCAGCATGCAACAGCAATACCAGTACGTACAAGAGCACAATGCAATCGGATTCTGATGTATGCAATATATTTTTAACACAATGGACTTGATCCAGACATTTCTGGCACCTTCTTCTATTGTCTTTCATCACTTTGCAGTGAAGTCATTCATGTAGGGCACTCCAGACTTGAGGTGGTTATGGTCTAGTGCTGAAATTAATGTTGAATAAAAATCAAGTTAGTTAGTACGGATTAAATAACTGTTAGGCAAACAAATATTTGTTTATGTAAAGAAACAATCACTGAATAGATGAAGTAAGTCATTTTTGTGCCTGTCTTCATACAGTGTGCTGCAAAATAAATGCAGATCTGAGAGAGAGAGACCCACTTCTTCCGCTGCCCACTCTTTTCTACTTTAATATTGTAAATAAATGATTTAGAAAAAAATAATATCATAAAGTAATATTTAGAATTCCAGTGATGTGCCTTTTATGATAGTATATTTGAGTTGTTCTTCAAATATCAGATGAAGAAACTTCAGACACAGTAGAGGTCTTAACCAAAATTAAAATCTTGTACTGAAAATATCACTATTTCTTATGAGCTCACCTGAAGAGAGATTATGGGCAAAAAGTAATGAGATGGGTAAAAGGAAAGCTACTCTTATTTCATTTGGCCAAGATCTACTCAACATCTTGGACTGTCCCCCATTTTGTTGTGTATTAAAATGGTTTCAAATGAGCCCGAACAGGACTTGGTGTTATAGGCACGCTGTGAGATTGTCTCCTGCCATTTCACAGTCAGAGGACGAGTAGGGAGAAAGGAATGAACTGGGGAGAACTTTTACAATGCTCATAAAACTGATGTTAGATCTGTGGGTGGCACTTGCTAACAGCATAGTCTAAATGGACAAACAAAAGGCAGTACTGGTGAGGAAGGGATATGAAGAGAAAAAAAAAGAGCAAGGATGGAAAGAAGATAGGCGATAAGTAAAGGTGAAGTGGCTGTGAAAAGCTCATCACTGACAAGAAAACAATGTTGAAAGTAGAGCTACATGGGAAAAAGCAGCACAGATAGAATCAGTGAGTTGCTGGTAATTCTTAGTCAAGCTGCTTTGGTTGCTTCACATGCCAACCTTGAGCTTCAAGCAAAAGAACAATTGACTGTTACTACAGTCTGGGTTTAGTTCAAGGTGAATCACGTGTGCAATTTCAGGATAATTTATCTTCACCTGCCTTAAAATGCCAAAGGAAAAGACACTGTCAACTTTTGTGCTAGCTTAGAAATTAATTCTACTGATAAAATTTTATTAGTAATCTTCAGATTAGAGTAAAAAAAATCCATGCAGTCATAATTAGAATTCTCTGTATATAGATACAATTTACTAAGCACTTTTCTGACACAGGGAAAATGATACCATTCCCCCTAAACATCAAAGAGATTAAGACAGACAGCTCTTGGCAGAGGCCAACAGAAGGAGCAGCAAAGTAGCAGTAAGATTTTTTTCACAGATAACTGTGCCAGGAAGGAAATCTTTCAGTGTTAAAGTTCATAGATTTGGTGAGCTTCCAAAGGGGGCTACATGGAAAGGTGTTGTTTGACATCATAAGCCTTTTGTCTGGACCTACTAACACATTCTCCTCCCTGGAGTTGAAAAATCCAGGTCACCTTGTAAGCAGGCAAACTGCTGCTGCAGAAGTTTCTCCTTAGCTCATTACATCAGTATCTCACCTTTTGCTTGCCAGGCTTGTTTAGTACTGCAGCAGGAGTCTTTTGAAAAAAACTGCTGTGCATCTTTGAGGACAATGTTAAAATTAAGCAAATTATTCCAGAGGTTTGTGTTTTGCTCTCTGCTGCCATGAATGATCAACGTGGGTATATGATAAAGGGTAACCACTTATTTGTGTGAGTGACTGAAAACAGTTTTGCCAACAGGGATCTTTGGAACAGCATTTAATCTGAAAAGATAATTAATGTCTTCTTTGTTGTGCAACAGAAGTCTATGGAATCATATCGTATCACATCTCTCAGTAACACACAATTGGGTGGCTGAAATTGGGTTTAACTAGGCAGACAAAAATAACTTTGGGAGGAGCAGAGAAAGGTTATGGGTCACGTGATGCTGATTTGTTTGTTCAAAGTTGACCTATCCCTGCAGCAGAGAGTTTAACGAGCTCCAGTAAGGACTTGCACCCAGAGCTGCAATTACTGTGGGAGGGTCCAAGGTCTGCATGTGTGCGTGGGGTCTGGGTCGTGTCTGTTCGTGGGGGCAGCAGTATCTTTCTCAGAGTCTACAGATCAGACTTCCTGAGCATCCTTCCACTGCCTTGTGGTTGACAATCAACAAAAAGAGGCACGGATACACTGGGTGGAAAACAGGACATCTGAGATTTCACTGAAGAAGTTGTTCAAACTTGCAAGTAGAAAAAGAAAAGGAGTTTGATGGCAAAGACATTGTGAATACTTTACTCATTTGTATAAACCTGTAAATAAAGGTTATGTTTCCTTCAAAGTGTTTTTTTTTTTTTTTTTTTTTTGGCTTCTGAGAGGTGAACAAGCACATTGCTCACTTGATGAATTTACCAAAGCCTATTCCACTGAGGGCCATTAAACTTGATGATATCATCTCTAATTCGGGGAGTTCCTGAGCCACAGCTTCCCAGCGTCAGGCTGGTCTGGTTTGCCTTCCTTCTTTGGTGACTATCACTGACACATCATCTTCTTCAAGATGCTCATCCTTAAAGCTGCCTATTTCCTGTCCCCCAGAAAGACACTCCTCCCAGTGTACTTCCTTCCAAAATAAGGTAGGGGTTGAGAAGTAAACATGGGAGAAATCAGAGAAGAGTGAATGAAGAATGGAATCAGGAAAAATAGTATAAAGCACTCTCCACAGCCATCACCTTCTGTGGAACAAGAGCTCTGCTCTGACACCAGACATCTGTTCTCAAGACGTACGGATGGAGCCCTACTTGTGCCAGTGGTTTTTGTTCTTGTCAGGAATGGTAATTTCTTACTTTTCAAATGAATCAGTTCACACCGTAGAACTGAGAAGACTTCAGGCAATAAACACTTCTCCAAGTCTGCAACACACACTACAGGGTTCACGATAAATATAGAAATCGCACTGTGAATCTCACTTTGTTTTTGATACTCAAGTATCTGAGAGCGCCAAGTAACTGTGGAACAAGAAAGTAATGTCATCAGTGGGTGCAGGGCTGGTAACCACACACAGACATTTACAGTGTCATGAGGCTCGGTTTGGGGGTCGGCAGTGTCGGATGCTGTGCATTTACAGCAGTTACGTTTCAGCTCGCACACCAGTTCCAGGTCTCGCTCATAAACGCACTTCGCAGCTGAGCATTAGCAGCTGCCCGGCGTCCCCGCGCCTCAGCTCGGCTCTGTCACAAGCCCGCCCCGAGGACGCGGCTCCGGCTGGGTGGCGGCGGCGGTGGCGGCGGCGGCGGCGGCGGCGGCTCCGAGACAGCCGAAAGCCAACCGAAACCCGGCGGCGGCTGTAGGAGGAGGAGAGAGAGGCGGGGCGGGGACAGGACGCCCGCCCGTCCCCCCCCCCTCCGCCGTCTGGGGCCGCCGCTCCGCCCGCCCGGCCCGCGGCTGCCGGGAGCGAGTGCATGCGCTCGGGCCGCCAGTGCGCAGCCGCGGCGGAGCGCAGCCGGGGAGGAGGAAGCGGCGCGGCACGGCGCGGGGGAAGGAGGCCGAGGCCGGCGGCGGCTCATGGCTCCGCGGGCGGGCGGGAGGCAGAGGCGCGCGAGCGCGGGCCGCTAGCGCTCCCCAGGCGGCAGCTCCGGCGGGCGCGGGACGGGGCTCTGCCCGGCCCCTCTCGCGGCGGCGGCGGCGGCTCCGGCTGCGTTTGGGGGGCGGCGGCGGGTCGTGCTCTCGTCGCTGTGCCGCGGGCTGGTGGCATGGCCCCGCGGGGAAGCGCAGAACGCTTCCCGGCTTGGAGGTTCGCGCAGCTCGTGCTCCTCGTCGTCTCCTGCTGCGGTACGTACCGGCGTGACGCCACCCCTCCGCCCCCGGCTCCGGGCCGCCCGCCGCGGGCACGGCGAACAAAGCGGCCTTTCTGCCCGCGGCCCGGTCCCGGCGCTCGGCCCGGAGCGCTTCCCCGCCCCCTCCTCCAACCCCCCCCCCCCCTTCATTCCCCTACCGTTGCGCCGTTCGCGGCTTTAATTTTATTTCTTCGTTCCGGTGGGGGTGGTAATCTCCTCAGGGAGGTCCTGCGAGCGGACGCTGGGACGTGTCCCGGCCGCCCCCGTTTTAATGTTCCGCAGATGTAAGTGGCCGGGAACTCCGGAGTTGGTGCGCGACCGCACGAACGCGCGCACCCTCGCAGCGCTGACGGGCGGTGGGCTCCGGGAAGCGTGGCACCCTGCGCCAGGCCGCGCCGCACGGCCGGGGATGGATCTCCCGGGAGCTTTTGTTCAGCCTTCTCGCTTGGTACACGTAGTGCCGTTTTGGCACGATCGCAAACTCCTCTTTAAACAAAGCTGCTAGTGAAAAGCACTTAATAAACGCGCCAGTGAATGTGCTTATGTTGTGCAGTACGTAAGTAGCACGGTGACATAATAGGTCAAACGCCAGATGCTGCACGGAGGAGCTGCCCGTGGGCCCTCCTGGAGCTCGCTGTGTTATGAAGTTGAGCGCAGGCGGTGCCGCTGGGCCCCGGGTGAGCAGCAGAACGGAACAGGCACTGCCCTGTGTGCACAGCTCGGGCGGCGGCCCGTCCCTCAGTAGTGCTTCTGCTTCCAGCGTGGGCTGAGCGGGTTCAGTTGGAGTCATTTTGCTGCTTAGGAATGTGGACCTACGGGCTGAGACGCTTGGTTTTGTCTTTGTGTAAGGCCTTGTCCAGCACGTGTCTGTGCTGTGAGTAGGATTGTGAGCTCCTGAGTATGGATGCACAGCATGAATTTGTAAGAATGTTACTGTTACTGTTTCACTGATGCACGTGTGTCTAGGTGAGCAGAAGTCAGATGGGTTCTTGATGTAGAACTGCATTTACAGTGCCTGTTCCTGGGTGGTGCCTGTTCCTGAGTGGTGACACCAGTATGGTTTGAGTGAGTACACATGGATGAGCCAGGCAAGGTGCTGACCGATCCTGTGAATACACGTGTGGGCAAGAAGGGGAGTGTTAATATCTATGTGGGCTGTTAAAAAGTCACACAGCCAAGGGTAAAGTGAAAGTGCAGCTGGAAAAGGTTTGGCTATGGTGGAGCAGGAAACAGTAGGGAAAGTCTCAGCTCTGGGCATGTTCAGCTGACCTTAGGTTTGTGTGCTTGAGGAATGTAACTTCTGTGTAGAGCCTTTTAATAAAGTGCAAATTCTTTTGTTGTTTTCACTACAACCAAAAGAAAAAGTCAGAGTTACTGTGATAAACCTCACCAGCTTGAGTTTAGTAGTTAGATTCAGCTTGTGATTCTTTGGGCTGTTGTCAGCATTTCCAATATAACACTTAAACGATAAGCACAGCCTTTTGTTAAAGGTGATAGTTGTGGGGTTTTGCTTGTTTTACTAAAAAGCTCAACCAAATACAAATTGTGCTGAGTAACATCTTCACTGAACCTTCAAGCTTTCCAAAGTTTAACCAAGAGCAAGGGCTGCATAATTTCTTTTGCCTTGCCATTCATAATAACCTTTGCTGGAAAAGGAAGGCAGAGCCTGCCTTCAGCCAGTGTGCTGCCTCTTCTGAAGTTTAGTTTATCCCTACAACTTCTTGTTACAAATGTTCTGACCCATTTCACTGCTTGAAGGAAGGGAACTTTCTTGTCCCCAAGCTGAGCATCCAAGAGGAATGCAGGAGTTGGCTGCATAGCAAGGCCAATCTCTAATTGTCTCTTCAGTTTGTTCTGTTCACTTTTTTGGGGAGAAGGAGATGGGAGTGGGAAGTATTCCCTGTTAAAGCGTATCGCCTTCTTGTAGAACTGCTTTTAGCTCTCCCAAACTAAACACCGACATGAATTTGATCAGGAAGCTACTGGCAGTAGAGCTCTGGACAGAGATGTTCATCCTGAGCAGAGCCTTGCAGATATCATAATGTTACTGCATGTTAAGGCGTTGAATGCAGGAGGCAGCATTCAGGGTAAGCATGTGCTTGGGAGAACAGTAGTGTATCATTTTGGTGACTTTCATTGTGCAATTGTGCAGCTATAATGCCTAGAATTTTCCACCAATTAATATATGAAATTCACGGAGGTTGATATGTGGGCCTTGAGCTCTCTGGAGAATGTTTCTCTGTTTCCCTGTAGCTAGTGAAATTTTTTCAAACCTTCCTTCTGATGATGACTGTAATGATAAAAATTTGAGGAGGAATACTGATGTGTAAAATATTGGAATAGAACTGACTAACAAGAATTGTAGCTTGATAGGATAATTGGGCCATAGTATTTATTTCTTGTTGACTCGGGAATTTTATATCCAATAAATACGATACTGTGCATTTCTCTTTGTAACTCTGACATGGCTTTTGCTGGGACAAATATGAAGACATTTCTGTGTATCTCAAAGGCCATGGCAATTGCTTGCATTCAAAACAAGACTGTATATGGCATGAAGTGGTTTCTTCAGGGGAAAAATATTGTTTGAGAAGTTGTTCTCTTGAGGGCAGTGTTTTTCAGAACAGAGTCTGATGATTGATTAGCTGAAATCAAATGAATTTTGTTTCCTTGTTAAAACAGCAGTTTGGATGAGAGAACTGAATTCCTGTGTTGTTTGATTTTTATTTAACCCTTGACAGAACAGCAGTTTATATTTTATGGGTACCGTTAACACAGTATTTTCAGGAGCATTTTGAGGACCAGTCAGGGAAAAGATTGGTTCAAGAGCAAAGGCTGTGTTATGAAAAGTCTTTCAAGTGACACAGTGCAAAAGCTGGGATGTCTGTTTGAACTGTGGGTTGGAGGTGTGGGTGTTCACCTCCGCTTTGCTACAAGTCAGGTTTTTCATTGTCTTAACTGTAGCTGTTATCCCACTGTGTTTACATCAATTTCTGTCCCACTTGACAGAAAACCACAGCAAGCTTTTTGCTGCATTTTGTCAAGTTAGTAGTGATCAACACTGTTGTACAGTCAGTAAATTTCCCACTGCTTCTGGCTTTAGCAGATGTGATGAGAATAAAATAGAAGTGCAGCAACAGGAACGTATACCTGAAACAACTCCAAGGTAGGAACTGGTGGCATGACAGATCAATCTTAATTCTCCATGTCTACAGGATGGGTTAGGCTTTACTTGGAGCACTGCTGACTGAGAATCATTAGAAGTCAGAAAATGACTACTCACAAAGTTGTAATTGAAACAGTGTTGTATGTTACTGAAGTTGCAATGCTATTGATGTTATTTTGACCTATGGAGAAAAAAAAAGCATGCTATTATTACATAAGCTTTAAAATGCTTTGTTCTGTATTAGTACTATTCCAGGTTTCTGTAGTACAGACATTGCTTGAGATTATCATGAGATCATGTATATAATGCATTGTTTACTTGGTTTTAAGACCAGGCAGGTTAAATTATAAAAGTTCACTGATCCGGATCCAAATTTAAGTTACGTGTCAGTTTGCTCATACGGCATGAGGAAGAATAAGACATTTCTCAGGTTCATTCACCTTGTTTGAAAGAATAGTTTGAATCATGTAAGCCTGCCAGCGCGTTTATTTAATTTTCTGAAGAAGTTGCACTATGAAGCCGGTACATGCTGTCCTAAAGGAATGACTTGGCTTCATAAATTATTGTACTTTAAATTCTTGAATGTCACTTTTTAGTGATATGTCTGTGATATGCTGGACAAATACATTTTGCTAAGCTGTAAATCATATTATTGGCGAAACTGCTGCGTTTAGCATATTAGAATGGTGTCATAGTCTTTGAAAGGAAAATGTCCTAACTTTAATGGCATAGAAATTTCTATTGTCTGGTAAGTTTATTATCAGTCAAGTTGTGCAAGTCATTCATCTGGCTGCTCAGCGCCAGTTAAGTCTGTAGTCTGTATCTGAGAATCACAGAATGGCCCAGGTTGGAATGAACCTCAAGGATCACGAAGTTCCAATCCCCCACACCACAGACAGGGCCACCAACCTCCACATTTAATAGTAGACCAGGCTGCCCAAGGCCCATCTAACCTGGCCTTGAACACCTCCAGGGATGGGGCATCCACAACCTCTCCGGGCAAAAGAGGTCTTACGGGCAGTATTTAAAGTAACATTAGTTTGAAAGGAGAAGAAGAAAACAACCTAGATAAACTCTTACCAAAAGGAATTCCAAATTTAATCTAATTGGTGTGATTGTAAGCATGACCAGAATGAGAACACTTTCAGCTGGAGGAAAAGGCAGTTGTCCTGATCCCAGGTACAGAAGCCGCCTGACTCCATTACTCTCACCAGAGCAAAACACATTATTAGCTTGGCTTCTCCAGCTTCTTCCTGTCATTGCTGGGAGAGGAAGTGCTCTGCTGGATTAGAGCTGGATGGGCCCTGTAGGTGATTCTGTTGGACTCCTTTGTTTCACCCAGTTGCCTTTCACTATCGAGTAGCTGTACTGTATGCACTACCTGCATTATTTTCAGCTAAGCAATAAATATATTTTTTTGTTTGACCTGGCTCAGACTTGCAATTATGATCAGTTTTCTGTTTCATGAACAGATCTCACACAGAGCCACAGAATATCAAGGACTGCAGGGGACCTCAAAAGGTCATCTAGTTCAGTCTCAAGTTCTTAAAATTCGTATTGTTGATATGTTAGGTACTGCACACATTTGCCTTTTATTGTAGTTTCTCAAGCTGCAGAAAGGATTGTTTCATATTTAACATGGAACTCATTCCCATAGGTATTTTTTTTTCATGACTATAATCTGTACTGCATGTATAGTATGTTTTTACTTTTCTAGATGTGTCTGCATTTTCCAGCATCGCTGTTCCGTTTATATTGTCCCAGACAGTTAATAGTGATGCTGATTGCTGGTACAGCTGAGATGGTCACTGAGGCATCAGTGAGAGTGT